CATCAGCAGCAACAACAAAATGCTCTTTGGCCCTGCAAAGTACCACAGACGATCGCCGCCGCTGCTGATGCTTTATATACCCTCGGACGTCGCAAACTCGCATCTAAGGTCTCGAGACTTTCTTCCCTTTATATATTTATTTTTTATTTTCTTTCTGCCAAGCCAATGTTTGTGTGTGTGTAATATAGCTATAGGGTAAGCATTGACCGCACAAACACAGCATCCAGATCAAGGTTCGCTCCCTCAAGATGTATCCCCCATCGGTCACGCGCCCTCACGCTGCACATGTGTGTGTGTGAGTGTGGCAATACGGAGTTGGGTTAATACACAGCTAGCGGCTTTTCAAGAAAAAAAAGCGAGCGAGCGAGCGAGAGAGAAGGAAGGAAGGGTGGTCCCCACACACGAGCGAGCGCCCGCGCGAGGTCCGCGCACTTGAGCTTGACCCACATTCTAACGTCGCATACTTAGCACTCTCTCTCTCTCACTCTATACCAGATACTCCCTCTGGGCGAAAAATCAATTTCCCTAAAAATGCCCCACCCAAAAAACCACCACCTCCCTCCTCCCACCCTCATTCTCGCCCGCAGCTTCTCTCGCTCTCTCGCGGCAGCGACTACCAGTAGATCTCGCGCGCGCGAGCTTTCTTTCGCCTTGCTGCGAGCACAACTCCTCTGCTCGTATATCTCCCTTTTCGAGCGCGCGCGCGCGTGTGTGTGTGTGCGAGTATCCCTGAAAGCTCTCACACACCAGCGCGCTCTCTTTCTACGCGCAAGGTCGAGTTTACGCTCAAAGTCTACGATACAATACTACTACCGCTGCTACTGCTACCATCGTCGAGAGAGAGAGAAAAAGACTGCGATACGTATATCATCGCGTACTGTTCGCGTTCAAAGCTGCGTACGAGATACACATTATATACGTTCTAAAAAATCTCGACCTAGATTGATACTTTTGCACGCGTGCATATGTACATATCACGCACAGCGGCAGCAGCAGCAGCAGAAATATATAGAGGAGTGAGTCGATCGAGCGAGAGAGAGAGAAAGAGATGTGGAATCACGAGGAGCTTATAAACGCGCGCGTCGCACATTTTTGCTCGTACACCGTTTTACGCGTGTATTGTTCGTGTCTGTGAGCTTGCTCGTGTGTATGCGTGTACGTAAACGGAACGCGTTCGAGTGATCAGCGGTAGTATGTACACACACAAACATACACACGAGCGTATACGTTGATTTTGTTTGATATAAACACACGAGGCATGTTATATATATAACGATGTGCACACGCGCGCGGCAGAGCTTGCAGCGAGCTTGCGGTATACATCCACTATCTCTCGCTCCTTTTAACGTTAAACGATTTTTAATCAATCTAGCTCTTGCGTTGGAATTTTTTGAAAGCAATTTCATAATCGACGATCGATTAAAATGTTTTTTTATGCTCTTTGCCGAGACATTATCGTGCTTATCTCTCTCTCTCTATCGACGCGAGCACGCGATAATGATAATGCATCGGCTCTTGGAGGATGCTAGAGATCGCTTTGTGGGCGCCCTCCCCGCTGCACGCGCAGCAGCCTGCGACGATGTATTATCGAAGCTGAAAATTAAACCTCAACTATGATCCCCCAGCAACAGCTAATCTTACATCAAATATCGCCGCGCGCTCTCGTGCGTCGAGCGGATTATAATGCTGCCGCCGTGAGCTTGCGCGACTAGTTACGGGGAAAATAAGCGACCGAGTGAGCGGCGATATGAACTCGTTTGTGGCCTCATTTTCAATTAGTAAGAGTCCGCGTGCAAGCTTTCTCTCTCTTGCTGCAGCATATATGCTATAACATACGAACGCACACACACGCACACACTACCCTGTGCAGGGCTGCGCGCACCATCCTTATTTCGCAATTTTGCGCAGTTCAAATACGAGCCGAAATAATTATACGTTTTACGGTAAAATTGTATTTAATATTTGTGGTTTATAAAGCACGATGTAAGAATATAAGCGAGCGCATTAACAACTTTTAATTTTTTTTTTCCTTTCCTTTTCTTTATGCACGAAAGTAACTTTACTAAACCTATTTATAGAATTCTCATTACTTTCGACGCTGCAGCGCGATACACGCGCGCGCCGCATTTATATCGATACAAATTCCAATGAAGATCCGTCGTGATACGAATATAGTGGACAGTATTATGGATGCAGCAGCAGAAAGTCAGAAGCACACACACACACACACACACACACACACACGGAGTCGGGGGACACGCGAGGACGAAAAGTTTTCACGTTACAATACACAGCTGCTACTGCTGATACGGTTTGCTACACACAGACACACGCACACATATAAAGGAGAGTATGGATCGCGTTTCTTTTCGCCGCTTGGTTCATTGTCGTCGTAAATGCCAAGGTAATGTCCGTGACACAAAGTGCGTGCCTCATGCGCGCGACGGCGACGGCGGCGGTGGCCACTACCTATACTATACATATAACACAATGTGCCGAGCTCGAGCTGCTGCTCGGACGACTGCCGTGTTAAACGCGTAAAATGCACATATTCACGCAGGGAAAATTAACAGCTGGAAAACACGACGAACGTGCATGCGTGTTTCAGTTAATATAAGCGAGCGTAGAACTGCATTCGAGCAAAGGTTCATTAGAGCTAAAGGTTCGTATAAATAGCCGCGAGAGAGAGAGAATTAATTTTCGTTCGCGTTGTACGAGGATTTGATTGACCTATATCTCGGCAATGCACGACTTTTTTCTCCATTATATTATACACCTTAAGATATAAAAGAGGAAGCTGAAATAGAAAAAGAGATGTATAGAGATGCTTTTTATATATACGGCAGCGGACGAGCCGTTGACGCGAATTTGCAATTTCGTCGAAATATTATCACGCCTGCACGGATCTCTCTCTCTCTCTCTCTCTCTCTCTCTCTCTCTCTCTCTGCCTCGGCATTCCTTCGTATAGTCGCGCAAGAATAATAAACACGACGAAGAAAGGCACGCACAAAACTCGATGACGGCAATGATAATGATAATATTAAAAGAAGAGGAAGAGACTGCGGAAAAAAGAACAAGAGAGAGAGAAGAGGAAGAAGAAAAGAAGAGAGTGTCGTCGTCGTCGGTGCGTCTCATATAAGATCGCGCGCAAAGACCGGGAACGTAAAAAGAAGCGCGCGCGCCCGTGTGTGCGCGAATATAAGTCTTTTACGGTATTTTCCTTGCCCGTAAATGGGCGTGTAAGCGCGCGTACAATTTTTTCGCGCTCCCTTTCTCTCGCGCTTCTTTTTTTTTTGTCAAACTTTTTATACGTGCTCGACTTTATAATTTTATATGTATATTATATAAAACGAGACGCGAAATGTACTTTCACCTTTTATTCTCTTCATCCGCTGGTTCCGCGGAAAACGCGAGTTATGCACATACAGTGCTGTTGCTGCTACGATCACGCGTTGTGGCCATGCTCGCGCGACTCACGCGATGCACTTTATTGTTTTTCTTTACTCAAAAATCGCCGCCCACTGTATACACTCCCCCCCTCCTCTCCATCCTCCTTGTCTGCACTATACAGGCGCGTCGTCGCGTGTGCTTTTATCTCTTTTCTTTTTATTCCATTCAATTAGTTTAATGCTCGCGTTTCAAAACTCGAGAGCGAGAGAGAGAGAGAGAGAGAGAGAATAAGACACATCCTCCGCTCGAGAGTGCAAAGAAGCGACGAGCGTATTTGTGTGAATTGGAAAAACACTAACGCCAACATGACCGCGGGGCTCTTATTTAAATTTATATAAACTCGCGGCATAAACTTATGTTGCTACGTGATAAATTTATCCATATCCACGAGATGACGTAGATCGACCGAAGTCGTGTGTTGTATATATGGGCTCGCGGCGCGCGCGTGACTCTGCTCGTGTGGTTGTATAGGTCGGAAGACGGTTTTAAAATTGAAAAAAAAGACAGCTACCTCTCGCTCTCATCCTCTGTCTTTTCCGCGGCGCGCGCGTGTGCGAGAGAGCGAGTTTATAATAATTTTTCCGCGGAAAATGACGCGCGCGCGACTGACGAAAACCCCCCGTGATGGATGATTGTTATTTCGTTGCTCGCTCCTAACGTACTAATAGATATGTACGAAATGTATATATCGCTATTAATCGTTTAACACGGCTGTGTGTCAGGGGTTTTTTAGAAAAATGAAACAATAATACATTTTGGAAAGCGTGAAAAATAACAAGATATCGCGTCGAGGACGACAAAAGCAAATATGAGCGCGGCGCGTGATGCGATTCCCGCGAGAGAGAGAGAGAGAACCACGCACATGAAAAATTGCTCGCGCTTGTGCATCTATTGCATATAGTTAAAATAAACTTTACGCTTTTCTGCCGGACAATAAAATTTTACGATTCTTTTGATATTAGTGGGTCACGAATCGATATTATTATTATCATCGTCGTCGTCGTCGTCGTCGTTGCGAATGCCACATTAAATACAAAAGCTCGTTGGCGACCGCGTAAAGAGAGACAAAGAAAAGATCGTCGTCGTCGTCACCAACGTTTGCATGGAATTTTTCTCTCGTCGTCGTCGTCGTCGTCTTCTTCTCTTTCTTCATCGAGATCGCAAACAAAAAATGTGCAAAGCTTTGAGAAAAAGAAAAAAAAATTGCTTATTTTCTTCGATCGCTCGCTCGTTTCTCTCCTCTCGAGACGCGCGTACGCCGCCGCCGTTACCGCCGTTCTTTATATTCCCGCGCGCGCGATCGCGTCAAGGATCAGCTTGATAGCGAGGAAAAGAGCTTGCATTAAGTTACCGCAAGGGAAACGAAATCGATATACACACGCGCGTGGCGGCGGCAGTAGCAGCTCAACCCAACGGAATATCATAACGTCGAACATTTTCCGAACGACGCGATGATGATGAAAGCTTTTGCGATAGAGATAGATAGATAGATAGAGGGAGAGAAAGAGAGAAAAAAGCTATATTGAGGAGGTGATGGTGCGCTAGCTAACCATTATGAGGCGGCTTCGATGCTGTTTCTGCTGCTGCTGCTGCTGCTTGATCCTCCTGGTGGGCGACGATCAGCAACAGCTGTAAGCACCAGCTGAGCCAATGATATATCCTTCGTCTAACCGTACGACTGAATTCGAGAACGAGGCAGCATCTGCAGTTTCCGTGATACATAAAACAGTCATGGAGCGCGCAAAACTATTTGCACTCTTCAAAACGGTTGTGGCTGTATATCTTATCCCTGCGTGATCTATGTATATTTACACTCGCGCGGCTAACGCATTATTTGCATGCGCAAGGGGAGCTTTTTTTTGGTTATCGTCGTAAAAAAGCTCGCGATTGTACACAGGTGTCCTCGGCAAAAGTGCGCGCGTTAAAAAGACACAAGACACTCGCACTTGACACAATCACACGCGCGTGAATTATTAATCTCTCGATTTGCTCGTTGCTGATGATCACACGGCACAAAAAAAAACGCGTACGCGTATTACAAACTTAAATCTTTTTTACGGATATTGGATTACCACGACGAAGAAAAAGAAGAAGAAAAAAAAAGAGATCGAGGGCGAGAGATTTTTCTTATATATCCTCGCTACACACGGGGTTGACAATAGCCAGTAGTAGCAGCAGTGGTATACAACGAGGAAACGGAGAGTCGAGCGTGCGTTGCCGAGAGAGCTCGAGAGGTGCGATACGTTAACGCGTATTATCTACGGTCTGTACAGCGTGTATCAATACGCGTCTATATATGTATAATATAATGATAATAATAACACGGAGTGTGGCACACGATGGGGCGCGCACGCTTCCCCCGACTGACTGGTACATAAGAGATGATTTCTGCCTCTGTTACGCGCTGCTGCTGCTGCTGTATACTCGCCTCGAGTCGAGAAGGGATGCTGCGCGCGTGCATCGCTGCTGCTGCTGCTGCTGCTGCTGCCGACCACACGGCTAAAGCTCCCACCCGATATTATTATATATGTATATCAGACACACGTACGTATATATCCGCTACTACTGTTCACACGCACACACACACACACACACACACGATTCGGCTCGCGCAGGCGCTCCACCACGGCTAGCTGTTGCTCAGTTCTCGAGAGCTTTTATCCACGCGCGAGCTTACGTACGCGCGGGCGTGTGTGTGTGTGTGTGTGCTGTATTATATATATACGAACATTGGAGCGAGCAGATGAGGCGAGCAGCTTTTCTGCTCCCTACCTCCCTCTCTCTTTCTCGTGCTCTTGCTCTCTTTCGCAGCAGAGGAACTTGACCGTTTGCACGTTTCGTCGCAAAGAGAGAGAGAGAGATGAAAACGGCGCGTGTGTAAAAGATTCACCCGTACTACTTCGCCTACATATTATACTATATATAGGTAGATATATATTTCGTACGATATCATATGACACATACGCACGCACGAGTGCGTCGCTATCATCGTCGACGAGTTGAACAATCCGACGCACGATATATCTGTCTCTGTGTGGGTGGGTGGATAGCGCGTATATAAACGTCTGCGAAATCAGTGTTAACGAGCTTGCACGGGCTCGGCTCTTTGCCTTTTGCACCGACACGGGCGACAAAAAGTTCGGAAAAACAAAACAAACGAACGTAAAAAAAAACAACAAAAAAAAAACAGAAAAAAAGGAAGGAGCTGTGGAAAAAAAGGTCTACAACGCGATCGTCGAAAGATCGAATCCAAAAGAGAAAGATACGCGTTTTTCAACGAATACGAGACAAAAGCTCGATTTTTGTTGCATACGAAAGCATCGCACTCGTCGAGCTTTTCGAGAAAAATAAAATAAGTAAAAAATAAAGGGTGGAAAAGGGCTTATAGACCTCGACCTCGAGAGACGCGCGCGAGAAAGGAACATCGAGTTCAAAAGAGAGCTATTTTATGCAGATTTAAGCTAGGCAACAGCCAGCAACGCGTCGTGTGTAAAGAGCCTCTCGCGTTTGCAATATATAATATATACCTATATATGTACGGTACACAGTGCAGCAAGCAGGGGCTGAACTAGAGAGTTAATCTTTAAGCTTGACTTTCTCTCTCGCTCTGTCTTATAATATATACTGTGAACGAGTAGCGGCGGCTGCCTACGATGATGAGTTTCATTACACTTTGTTTGCTATATTCGCGCGCTTCTATGCACGCTGATGCTGAGGCTGCTGCTGCAACTGTCAAGAATCCTTTATGCAGGCCGTGTAGTAGTACTCTCTGTGCATCTTTTTGCAAGCAAATTTTCATATTTAATATTTACACGTGTTCGCAACCTCGAAAGCATCATCATAACGACGATGACTCGATGATAGGAACTAGAGCTTTCATCCCCTATTTCAAGAGTGTATACGTGCGCGTACGTTTAACGCGATATACGCAAATTTATTTATAAAGCGTGATGTAAACTTGATTGGCCCTGCTATAACAGGTTTAAAACGCGTGTGCGCTTATTACACTCGAAAAACAATCTAAGCAATCTTATCCCGAAGTACAAGCACGAAAGCTCCACCTTGTCGTTTTGAGACGATCGTTTTGAGATTATACGATATAATGTAATACGCGTTTATTGATAAACGACACGTCTTACGATCATTTTCTTTCCTTTTTTATAGCTTCGTACGGTTATAAGCACGCACGCGATGCGCAGACGCTTTTTAGATGATAGTGCGAAAATCAAAAATTATCATATTGCTGATCATGGCGCATTTCATTTAAGAAATTGGGAGCAAATATTTATCTCCAAGCAGAAACGATCGAGACTTTTATCTCGGATATACAGCCACATGAAATCGATGATTTTGAGGAATAAAATCTCTGCTGCATTATTAAAAGTTGGCTTGTGAACGCGCAGGCTAAAAATGCACAGCAGCCTGTATAAGAAAAAGAGAGAGAGGAAGACCGTAAAGGGTTGAAAAGTTATAATTATATTTTGCGACGACGTCGACGCCACGAGTATATACCTCATAACTGATGCAGCCAACGAGATATATAGCCTAGCGCCACCGACACGTAATATCGATCGCGCGGAAAAACGCGTTGTGTAGAGTGTGCTTGCAGCAGCGCACCTGGACAGCGAGGAAAGAAAAAAGGACATGAAACGAGAGTTTGCACAAGAAGCCAAGGTTCGGCTTTCATAAATACAAGCTTTCTCGGCCTCTCTCTCCTTAACGCTGCTGCCGCTATACGGTTGCTGACCACGAGCTTTATATACATTATTACCTCGTGCGCCTTTGTAAATCCAGATTCGTTTTAGCGAGGCCTTTTCGCAGGTAGTTCAGACATTTTTTTTCCTCTCTCACTCTTTGGGCAAAACGAGAGCGAGAGTAAAAATAAACGAAGCCTGAAATTAAGTTGTGTGTATTTATAAATTTTACTGCGCGCGTAGGTCGTATAGCAATTAAAGCTTTCTACAAACGAGAAGTACATTAAAGTTCCGTATAGCACTCTCGGATATCGCTGGGATTTGAGAAACAACGTCAAGCGTAAACGACAGCCAGAGAAATAGAGAACGAGAGATAGATAAAGATAGACAGAGATAAAGAAAGTTAATAATCAGGCGCAAGGAGCTGAAAAGTTCGATGGATCTCATCAAGGATGGATTTTAAAAGGGCTTACGTCTGCAGTTGAAAAGTATGTTAACGTTAAAGCTCGAGCTCGCGCGCGCGCTCAACGCCAAAAGGTATTACAACGTAGTTTAGCGTGTAAGAAGTTAACTTGAATTTCATTACATTATATTCCACCCCTTTTTCTCGCGCATTGAGCGCGTCCAGCTGACGCTAAAGTATTTAGACTTATATTAATTATGAAACTTTTTTTCTCTACCTTCGTTGCCCCGCGCGCGCGTACCTCGGCTGGAGAAAAGTTCTTTTTCCAACGCGAACGGATTATACTCTAAGGGCGATAATAGAAAAAGTTCGTGCACGCGCAGCAGCAGCAGCAGCACTGCTGATATCGATGCAACAAAATTTTATTCAACAAAAAATTGGATAAAATTTCAAACAAGTTGATTTGGAGAGTATATATGCGCTCGAGTATAAAGTACAGTGCGCCGATGTAACGGATTATATACACGCGGCGTTATTTTTTAACAAACTAGATCGCCTGTCGATATTACAATACAATCTTTTTCAATTTTCTATCTCTCGTTTTTTCTTTCTTCATTCGATAACGAAAAATCCCAGCGCAGTACACTTTCACGTACATACACGAGCTTATCAATGTAGAGGCAACGGCGCATATAGCCTTGCGCTCGTGCGTGGATATAAAATTAGCTCGGGGATTTGCAAATTCCACGGATTACCGTGTTCGAATAATTTTTTAGGCTATCGAAGAAACATTTTTTGTTATCAGGCAGAGATACGCGCTGTACAATCGTATCGGAACAATAGTTTTCGATAACATAATGGAAACAATCGAATAGTAATACGATGTATATAATTAATATCATTGAGAAATCATACGAATAATTAATAAATTGAAAACAGTCGAATTATTGAAACGTGTTCTATATCGTTCGATGTCAGTACTAATTAACCAGTTACATAATTAGTATACGAAGACTTCGTTGCGGCAGCAAATCGAAACTTAATATTTGACAACGTGTATGAAATTTATCGAACAGTCTATGCGATAATGAATTTACATATTAAAAGAAGACCGTGGTTTTTTAGAGCTCATCGATATATTATCGGTGAAAAAAAATCGACACGTTTAGTAAATAGAAAAAATAGCAGAGGAGTATCGCGACGTGTCGCGCTCGCGAAATTTCTCTCAACCCGTCTTTTCGTACTCTCGAATCTTATGAAAGAACCTCAGACATCGCTCCATAGTACAATATTTGTACTCTCGATCGTTTAATGTGGCCCGATAAAAGAGCGCAGAATGCATAATAAAATCATTGATAAAGCACTGCGCTGCCGCCGCTGCTGCAACATTACACAAGTGCCTCGGCGGCCTTCTAATATATAAAATATATATAAGGCATACAGGCTAAAAGCGAACAAAAGGATATAAACGCGTTTTGTTATCGCGGATTAATACACACAATGGGGTTGTTTGGGTCTTGTATAATGTGCCATATAATATACTCGATCGGTATGCGTGCGTGTGCATGTATATGAAACGAGCCGCGCGCGCTCGGCGCTATTGAGGAAATATTGATATTTCGGAAAGAAAAAGGAAAAGCCGAGCGCGAGGAGAGCAGCGGCAGCTCGACGACGTGTCGTAATTTCAGTTTCGTTAAACGACCGGGAAAAAAATGATAAAGAATAGAAGGAAAGTAAGTACGCATAGTTTCAAAATTCTAGACGATCGCTTGATGATATTTCAACGTTTTTCGAATAAAACAATCGATTTTTCTGAGGAGAACAAAACAAAATTACGATCGTCGCGCGCGAGCTTTTCGTTCGTCGCATCTCTCTTCTTATAAACCCATTTTCTTATACGGAGGATAGGTTCATGCATACATGTGTATACACACTCTATATACGTGTATATGTGATGCGAGTAAAGGAGAGTAAAAAATTCACTTACCAGACGAGAACGGGGTTGGGCCTTCTTTATGTTTTTCCATCTCGGCGCAATAACTTCCTTAGCTCCTATATATAAGTATCGTATATATATAACTTGTGCAGGTCCGTACGCGCCGTCTTATTATTATGTATATAACAACAACAACAACATCGACAACAACACCAACAACACACGTCCAGTCTCCGTGTTGGTGTTCTTTATCTTTTCTCCTCTTCTTCTTCTCTGCTTCAATATATACGCAGTCGTCGTATACTCTCTTT